ACCCAGGATGCCATTGGCCCTCTTGGCAGCCAGGGCACACTGCTCACTCATGGTCAACTTGTCATCCACCAGGACTTTCCATATTAAATTGAATTTAAATGAGAAATAGCTTTATAATTTACCTTATATTGAAATCATTATAGCATTTCTGTAAAGGAGAATATCATCATATTTTTAAACACGTATAGTTTCAATTTAGTCTACGTACATTTTTAATATTCAATTTTGAAGAGGTCTGTCTGCACATAGTGTTCTTAATGCATCTATTCACATAAGAGGCTTTCCCCCTTCCTCCATTACAATATTTCTTTTTCTTTTCATGTTTGAACTTTCCTCTTTTTGGCCAGTAGCCATAGGCAGTGAATATGATGTCTCCCAAGACCTCACACTACGGGGCATCGGTTATTCAAGGACAAGCTTTTACATGTAGCCATGAGCTTTTCTCAAAGCTTCTTTCATAGTCCTTCCTTAATAATGACGGCTGATGAGTACCTTGTTTCTGAGGACTTTCTGTGAAGGCGATGTTTATACAGCCAACACAGCATGTTGCTGATAAGTCAAAGAATCTAAGTTTTTCCCTTGGGGTGGACTAAAAGTACCATCTCTGGAGCACAAATTTTGCTCTGAGGTTTTGCCCTGTCCATCGGAATGTCAGCGTTCGTTAGTGTTTGGGGTGCCTTGCCTTTGTTGCTACGTTAATGCTGTGATGACTACAAAGTCTCTGTTTATGGTTTATGAGCTGCTGCTGCCACCTATTTTTGTGATACCGAAGAAAATATGTATCAGATTATATCTTCTGTTAATGTCTACTCATGGTATTAAACCATTTTTTTTTCAGATTAATGACAAAAATGAACCGTTAAACCAAGCTAGGTAAAGATATACACACTGAGAAATTCATCCTCTTCCTTAAAAACTGCTACACATCTTCTGGGAGAGCTGAACTCTCCTCTCTTAGTAAAATGCCAGCTTTTCATTGGAACTGATTATTTTAAGTACTGAAAAATGAGGAAAATAATGTAATGGTCCAAGGACACAAGTATGCCTCCTAGATTACATAAGTTTCTTGGGAAACTTTTATAGCTATGTTAATTTACAAGGGTATTTCTCTCTTCAAACCCCATGAGAGTTGCTCAAGGACAAAAACTTCAGTAAAATCATAACCACAAGGTGCTGGGCTGTCTATACAAGCATAGCCAAGTGCCAGAACCTTTCATCTTTCCAGCAAGAAGTACCTCCAGATGAGCAGCCGGGCTGATGTTGCGGCCTCTGACTTGATTTTCCTGCAATACAACTGCAACTTGTTTGATCTTTTTGCCACTAGGAAGCTTTTCCAATTGTGTCATTTGTCACAGTCATTAAGATTATTTTCTACTTCATACTGCTTCAGAAAGATTGTCTCATGGAAGTGTCTGTCTGTTGCAGCAGGAACAATGTTGTGCAGATCTTTGGGGTCTGTATGAACTCAGGAACAATTCATCACAAGGAACAAATGGGAGTAGTCCATCTGTCATGCTGCAGAAGAAGGTGTTGCATTTTCTCCCGAGTTATGCAAAGCCATCACCCTGCATGACTTTGCGTTTCTGTGCTGTTTAGCTAAGTACTGAAGTGTTGCATGTCTTCTGTTTCTTATGGCTCTTACTCAGCTGTGGAAAGAAATATCAAGTAGTGTAACCACTTTCTTCCAAATCTTGGGCCAGAATCTCAGCTGATGTAAGTCAGTAGAGCTCCACTGACATTATTAGTGCTCCAGTGATTCACACCAGCTGTGGATCTGGTCTTCTGTCTCAATTTATGAAGAGCTTGAACTAAATGTCAGGAAATATGAAATGATCTCTTATAGTCAGCAGTTCTCCAGATGTGTTAATGGAGTTTAAGTTTACCAAAAGGCAAGACTTCAAAAAGTGATCCAACAGAATAACAAACTTCCAAGAAGAATGCCTTACTTACGGGCTTTTTGGCAAGAAAGGACTACACAACTCACTTCAATTTGAAGAAATTAACTCAGTTATGCATCAGAATATGGTAATACAGCTTCAGTGAGAATCCAAGATTCAAAATAATTTCACAGCTCAAAGCAAGCTGTTGGCATTCAGTGAATAATTGCCATGCAAATAGGAATCAACAGCTATTAAAACCAAAATTAAGTTGCTTATGAACTTCATGTAAAGAGCCTAATGCTTCCACTTTCCCAGTATAGCTGGGTTTATTCACAGGCGTGGTATTACAGCTTTTGGAGATTAAATGAGGACCATGTTGTTACAAGAACACAGAAGCTTAATAGTTCTAGCTGTGTAATGTTAAAACTCAACAGTGATTTGACTTATAGATGTGATCTCATGTATAACATTGAAAAAGTTATTTTAGCCAATGAGGGTGAAATTGTTGTTGACATTGCTTAAGCACTGTCAGACATACTTTTCAAAATCAGAAAATGCTGGAATAGTTGAAACCTCAAAGTCAGCAAATGTGGGGTCTGAGAAGTCATTTAGTCTTCCATGCCTAGTCTTACGTGCCGATATGGCATATGAGCATATGCACTAAAAAAACCTTTCAGTATCTGAAATAGCCTGTGGTGGTGCAGAGGGCTTTGCAGCCTGATTTATTTGCTCATGAGACCTTTCAGAATTAATGAAAATGATGAGTGTATAGCTCCACACTGTGTGATGTACATGTGCTCTCACTGGAGACTTAAGGCTTTAGATAGAGCTGGAAAGGTAAAAGAACAATACACCTTCAGTAAGTAAATGTGAGCATCACACTGTGTTGGGAGTATGTTACCTATATGTAAAATGAATTAGGGTACAAAGAAGTTGATTGCTAGCAATCAGAACAGAGTGATCTGATCCTGCTGACCAGAGGTCATTGGCTAAGGGTCCAGTTCTGGCAGGTTTATTTCACTGTTGGTCCAAGTGACTTTTCGTGAGACTCACATCTGTCTAGATGTCACTGCATACCGAAAAGGAAAAAAAAAATGCTTAGACTCAATTTATTCAGACTTGAGGGAAAGCATTCTGGAAGAGTTCACAGAGAAAGCTAGTTAGACTTCCAGAGAAAGTAATTATCATAATCTGACTATACCAGTACGTTGACTTTAAAGTGGTTTGCAGAACGGGAGAGATGGATAGAGTGGTGAGGAAACTCTTCTGAATTCTGGAGAGCTCTTAGGAAGTGACAGCATCCAAGACTTAGAATTTACAGGGCTTTTGCTGATTCCCCAGGAGCATGTGGGGCTCCACCTCAAAATGAAAATCATTCCCCAGGTCCACAGCAGGAAACACTGTTGTGAGAGTTCTGAACCTCTAAGGGCTTGACAAACCTGAAAGCCTGTGAGAGGCCATGAATCACACAGTGGCTGGGGTCCTAGCAAGCTCATTGCGTTTTGAAGGTTGCAGTATTTTGTAAGAGCCTTTGCTCCCTAGAGATTTCTAGATAGGAGTTCTGGAAAACTTGGTTCTGAAGCTGTTCGAAACCAAATTTTAAAAGAAAAAAAATGGCTGAATTTCATTAACTATATTGGCTCTACAGCGTGGAGCAGTTGAAGGCAAATGCTTGAATTAGTCTGAAAGTTAAGATTGCTTTTGCATGCCTCATTGCACTAAGCCCTCATATGGCAGCATTTGAGAGTAACACTTTCCATCACTTCTGTCTAGTTCTTCCCATCCTGGTGGCTGATGTGTTGGTCTTGGTGATATAGGAATTTTTCACCTTCTTTCAGGATTACACCAGTGGAATATACCTGGGCATGAAGCCATCAACCCTTATGAAACTCCAGCCAGTCCAAAATCCTACAATACAAGCACATCAGGTCCGCTCGCTGCTTCCTACACCGATTCCCCACAGCATACTGAGCCAAGATTAAGAGATCACATCTTATTTTCAAAGCAGCTAGTGATACAGACTTGGAGTATCTGGTCACCGAAAACACCCCTATCTGTGATCAATAATTTTCCTCTTAAAGCTCACAGAAGTAAAGTTGTCTGTGCAGGATTCAAAGATTTTTCGTGGATTCAGCCTAGACATATAAGATTAATTGCTATAGGGATCAGTGGCTGTTGCAAATGCCACTGTTTCTGGAAACACGTGACACCTTGCCTTCCCAGGCACAATGCAGAGCTGTCTTTACCAGAATGGTGTCCCAGGAGAAGCAGTGGACATGGGCCTTCGGCAAACGCCAGGAGCTCATATAGCCAAGAGACTGTAAATGATCTGCGTTGATAAGGACAGTCAAAGGAGTGCTAAACAGGACTGATCGATGCAGAGTAGTGTGTTAGTCAGTGTAATGGATGTCTGGTTCAGGCGTGAAGTTTTTGGGTGGGGCTGTGTGGTGTCCAGCTACCTGATGGCAAGCCTGCACCTCGGCATACATGTATCAGTAAACGGCGAGTGCTTATGTTTGTGTACATTTATAGCAAATATAACAAGGGAAGGCTTCCCGTCCCCGAATACCTGGGTTCATATATTATGGAAGGATTTTCTTCGTTTGCCTTTGTTTTCTTCTGCTCTACTGTTTGGAGAGAGGCTTGCACCTTCAGGGTGTGGACCTTCGAGACAGCTCAGTCTGATTCTTCATATGCATCCTTGTCAGACTGATGGACAACAGACACGTGCTCAGTGCCAGGGTGAAAATAAGGAGCGGTTAACAGGGCACCATCCTGTGCAGTAGTGAAAGAGCAGATCCTTTCTATGTTTTCTGCATTCATTCTGTTCTCCCTGGCTCACCATGTGGAAATTCTGGGTGAAATGGTCATTCTCAGTATCCAAAAAATTGTAACAAAATTGCTGAAGCCATGACATTTATGAGCTGAATTTCATCTGTTTCTTTGGCCATTGCCAGCTCAGCAAGGAAATCGGTCATAACAAAAACCTTTTCTCTTACAAGTAACCTTAACAAAAAGCTCAAAATACACTATTAAATGGTTACCTTGGTGGTGTATATGTTGGAGTTGTTTATATCTGTATCTAAATTTGTTTCAAATCTGTTTGCTTTATATTTCCAGACCTGATCTGGCCTCGCAGAAGACGTCGGGCAAGCATTCCCTGGATGTGATGTCTCTCGAAACACTGGAAAACACTTGTCAGCCAGAGGACCTCTTTGATGACATCTAACTACGTATTGGCTGAAAACCTGAGAGACTGGCACTTCTAATAGAGATAAGCTATAAAACTCAAAGGCTTTGTTGTAGACACTGAGCTGAAATCTTTATTCTGAGGTATTATTCAATGTCATATTGCTCTGATTCCCTTGCACTGCACTTGTCCCCATTCTTCACTGCATGGTTGTAGACCCTTGGCCTGCTACGCTTGATTTGTGACAGCCTTGAAATCCGTTTAGCCTCAGTGTAGATCTTTTATCATGTCTATATGGGGAAGGAGAGCACCACCATAACATTTTTACATCCTAACAATCTCTGGCTGCTGGTTGTGTCCAGAATCAACTGGTTTCCGGATGTCCGCAGAGAATAAGTCCGGCATAAAGAAGATTAAGGCTACCAAAGTACTTACCTTATGTACTACCCCTTTCTTGAGAAGCTCATCTTAGACAAGGTCTAGCTAAATCATCTTCAGCATTGACTGAGATATAGCTTCCGAAACTGTGAGTTTAGAATGATATCTTCTGATGTACATCATCCAAAGAACTGTCCTTTCACTTTTTACTTCAAGGTTCTCTGCGGCATTATACATTATAAGGTATTCTTGCTTTTGGAATTAAAGTGCTTATAAAGTCGATACTGACTGTATTTTAACCTTCTGTAGAAACCCATAGCTTTTAACATTATCATTTTTGATACTTCATCATTTTTCTTAAGGTGATTTCTAAAAAAAATAAAATACATTCTAAAAATACATAAATGTTAGTTTTATTTGCTTTGCTGTGAGTAAAGGGACTAGTTAACAACGTATGTTAATGCATGACCTGTTCCTGCCCAAAGCTGATGCCTTCACTTAGATTTAAGTCTTCACCAAAAAAACAGTTAGCAATGTGTATTTAGCTTCAGCGGTCAAAACTGAGTGTACAGAGCTAAGCATGCACGTCAGGTTTCTGCTTTGCAATTTGAAGTCTTGTTTAAGGTAGAGGGAACCAGTTGTTCTGTCTCAGAAAGGAGGTGATTCAACAAGGGTTTTAAACATGTGAGTAATCCCATTGAAGTCAGCAAGACTGTGCCACATAGTCCTGCCTCTGTGCTCTATGGCTTGCAGTGGTCCTTGGAAACTACTTGGTGTTTTTGAAATGGCAGCTTATTTGGGCCCTGATCCTGCCAAAATTCAATCCTATATTTAACGAAAAGCATCCGTGTCAATATTGGCTGGATCAGGGCCTCATTTAAGTACCTATGTGAGGATCTGGGAATATTACATTTAAGCATTCCGTTCTGAAAAACGTGGTCACAGCATTTTAAATTCACAAAGGGCTATGGGACAATGTTATAAATCACACAGTAAAAACATGAATGGCCAAAATATTTTGCTTGCTACAAAGGCTTTGTGCCTGAGAAATGGCAGGACCACAAAAGACCTATTCATACACCCATTCATAGACATTGCCTGATTTAAAATTCTCCAGTGCTGGTCTGACAATGCCTTCAGCGAAAGCTTGTATATAGTTTCAGTTTTAATGCAAAAATGTTCCATTACTTAACCCAAAACACAAGACCTTGGTTTAATTGTGCCTGCAGCAAAAAATGAAGGCAAATGGAGCTGAACATCCTGTGAACTCTGCTTTCAAGAAACTGTTGGCTTCTAATAGTAAAATGTTGTTACATAAATATTACACACAGTTGGCAGATGTAATAAAGTCTGATAGAATGTTTATTCGTTTGTCTTTTTTGAGTTTTTTTTTGAGGAGTTAAGAAAATTACGTGATGGCGGATACATGCGTTGGACTCTGTGAGCAGAGGTGTGTCGTCTAGTTTGGGTAGCTGTGGTACGGAGCCAGTTTCCAGTCAGCTGAGACCGTTTGTATCCACAGGGACACCTCCTCTCCCCTCAAAGTCTACTTAAAATATGTCATTCTCCACAGTCATGTGAGAAGCGTTAGCAAAATGCTCCTTTCTGAAGACTTGTGTGAGAAACTCTTGCTTTTCTGCCGATAAAGTTCCATTTTCCAGTTGGCTTTGAAGAGGAAAGACCCACCAAAACAAGCGCAAATTATTTGTGAGAGCAGAGGTAGTATTGCAAAAGCTGCAGGGAATCAGTGAAACTTTTTTATGATGCATATTTGTCCACAAGAAGTGAGGACAGTCACTTTATCCTCAAATTCGTTCATCCCAATGCATTGAAATAGACCCAACAGCCTTCACTGACAAAACCAAGTAAAATGTGTTTCAGGCTAAGCTGTGATATTTGGGAAGGGAACTCAGTAGTGATGCCCCATAACATATTTTTTAAAAACCTACTAAATTATTGTGATACTCAGTGCTGCTTGATTAAATCTCCGCGGAAAGCAGGGATATTTCCTGTCCCTCCATGCCGATGGAGTTCCTGCTGCAGGGGCTTTCCAAAGCTTACAGAGCAGAAGGGTTCCCTTGTGAGTCAATAGACAGTGCTTCTATTCATATATCGAATATAACGTTCACCTGCTTCACAATGGCACAACGTCTCCTAGTTTATGTTCATGCTGTGATCCACCATAATCCTTGAATTCTTCCGTGCAGAGTTACTGGGTAGTCACTTGTTTTTCCATTCTGTGTTTGTACAGCTGACTGTTCCTATAGGGGCTTAATAACTGGCATTTCACCATATTGACTTGCATCCCGGTTTTGTAGCTGATACCTCTAGTTTGTCAAGATGATTTTGAATGCTCATTCTTCCTCAGTTTGGTATTATGGGTGAACACAGTAAGTTCGTTCTCAGTTGCTAGCATCCAGACCATTAATGAAAACATTGAGCAGTTCTGGGCTTAAGCCTCACTCTATTCATCCTTCTATTTAGTAGAGCTACTAAGCTTGGACTTACTTTGTGAGCATGGTTTTCTAACTCGCCTTTTGGAAGACCATGTTTTCCAGGCATGCTTATAAAACCATCACATGAAATAGCCTGACATGAGACGTCAGTCAATTGCTTCTCTTCTTCTGTCCAAAATATTTTAGTGGTGACAGAAGGTAAAATAGAGAAACATGCCCACAAACGGATTTTCAAGACAGGAAATGAACCAAATTCGGTTAGGAAATGCAGATTGAATTTCAAAGGCCATCCTTAATTAATACTTCTCTTTGATACTACTCTGCAAATGATTTCCCAGGTAAATTTTTTTCTTCATTTTAAACTGTGCTTTTGGGGAAGATAAAACATGTAGTTGTTTTACAGGAGGAAAACATGCTATCTTGCATTAAAGGTTTACACTCGTCTAGAGTTTTATACTTTTAATGTAAGTACTTAAACAGAATGAATGTTTTATGCATAAATATTTGTCACTTGAGGTCTGGGTTTATCCAGCAAATCTTTTAGTTCGAAAAGATTTACAATATTTTTTTCAAGAGAGAAAAAAATTATTCTGAACAAAAAAACCCCGTCTTTTCTTGATGAAGTGCTGTATGAAGTGTTGCCTTTGGGATGAAAAAATCATTTTGAGATAATATTTTGGCAACTAGTATCACTATTTTAACTTCTTTCTCACTGTTATTCCCCAAAGTAGACACTTGTGTGTATATACATGTGTATTTGATAAATTGCGCTTCCTTGCTTTGTACTTGTAACGTATAAATAATTGTGCGTATAAACATGATTCCCTGGAAATGTTTGGAAGAGTCTAGCTGGCTTTGACCACTTCTGCAGTTTGATCTAGCAGCTTGGAGATACTTGAGGAAAGAAAAAGCCTTTACACATGGGAATTCAGATGCTGCTAAAAGTTTAACGTGAAGCTGCTTTCTTGTGGCGTGCCATCTGCTTTGTGGGAGAACTAAAATGTGGAAACAGTGAAGTAAGAATGGTAGGAAAACAAGGCAATAAAAGCATGTCCAGACTGCTTAGAGACTGAAAGTAATACACGTGAACATCTTCTGAGCAATACTAATTTAAAAAATGTGCCAGCAGCTGGTTGGTCCTCCTGAAAGAGGAGCAGCTAGGAGGGGGTTTCCATCTTCTGGAGACCCTCTTCTATTCCCTCTTATCTCCAGTAATTCATCAATGCTCTCATCAGGAGTTAGTACCACTTCTGTGCTACTGCTTTTCTGCACTAATTTTATTCTAATTCCCTTCACAAAGTCTGAGCTTTCATCAGATATTTTTCCTAAATTTCCTTTTGGCAATCTGTCATCCTCCCCTTCATTTCTTTTCCATATAATGTTGGTCAACATCTGAATTTTCATCCTTCTCTGACCATTAAATGATTTCCCTGCTATTATAATTACACTCTGAAATCAATTTAATTCATAAAATCTATCAGTATTAATCTGCTAGTGTTGTCAAACAGCTACAGCAGTTTTAATATCATCTGAGGGCGGAGATAGTTGCACACTGTCCTCCAGACTCACCTCCAGACTGCTCGGGCCATGTAAAACGTAAAAAGATAGTAAAATACATTTACAGGACTATTCACAAGCCCACTGTGGACAGATAATTCCAGAGGGAGATTAAATTCACTGCCCAGAACGGCTTAAATTTTGTGCTATTCTCATTGTCAAGTGAGAAAGAAAGCAAACCAGCTTAAGGCCCAGCTTTGTTAACGCTCCCTCAAGTGCTAGGCTGTTACTAATGCTTTGAAGTGCAAAGGGAAAACCTGTGTCGTAGATGACAAAAACGGGCATTGGACAAGCCCTGCCCTATTAAGTCACCTCATCCCCCTTTTGCCAGACTTGTGGGGAAAAACTGCAGGATTGTGCCTGGAGGTGCTGGTCGGAGAGGTGGGGTGCGGGCGGGTGGAGCTTCGGAAGGGGAAGAGCACAGATCCTCCCAGGGTCTGGAGCTGCTCTTCCAGCCCATGCAGGAGTCCTCCTGGCCAGGGTGGCTTTGCGTCCTGCGGTGAGCCCAGGAATGTTGGGTACAACCACTCAGCCTGACACAGTGTCCCAAATGGTGGGGAGCTGCTGCATGTGAAGGATGTGAGTGAGTGGAAAGCTTTCTGGGCTGGTTTAGGCTGCCCAGGGAAGTGGTGGAGTCACCATCCCTGC